ACCTATTGGCATATAAAACTGTGGGTGGGAAACATTTTTTTAATTATTGTAATAATTTTCTCTTTATTGCACAAAATTAGTATGTGCTCCTTTCAAAAAGTGTCAATGCACCAGAAATTGTAAAAGAAAATTATAAAAATAAACTATTTTTCTGGAAATAAAGTCTTTACTAGTTTAGACAATTTCTTAGATTTGTAATGTTGAGAAGAAAAAGGCCTGTGTGAAGTGCTTTTGCAGTGTTTTTAAACAAAATACCAAATAAAAAAGAGCAATAAAAAAGAGGGCATGACCTCAGTGACCTCTGTGTCTGCGGCGCTTCCTTGCTGGCATGTTTTTAGTCGTGGCTGTTTGCAGAAAGTCTAATGATGGCACTTGTGCTCTTTTCCTAAAGTGCTATAATGATCAGACATCAGAAACATGCTCTCCCATCACAGGAAAAAAAAAAAAGAAAAGATTTTGGACCTGTGCTCTGCTCGGCTCACTCGGTAGCTGCCCACTCCCAACATGTGTTCCACCAGACATCTCAGTGTAAGTATTCATTAGTTGTTTCGGCCTCTGGCCATTTTCCACTTGTTTCCCAAAGCTGGATCACATTATTCAACAAAGAATTCCCGTGGCAGATATTCAGAGACACACTCTGATAAAAGATTTTGATACCTATTTTGTAATACTGCTGTCCCACCCCCYGTGCCAGCTCCTTGAAGGGATTTCAAATATTCACAAGTCTCAGGAATACAGAAAATGACAATTGACTGAGATCTGGGTGTGTGCCTGGGCAGGGATGGGGGCATTGAGGTCAGTATTTACACAGGGTTTCCCTGTTTTTTTTTTACTGACTGCATCATTATCTGTTATTAATATTTACAATTCTCTGCTGTTGATGTGAAACGTTTTATTACAAAGAAAAAAGTCCCAAAGCTAAGAAACTACGTTCTTCTTTGGAAGTGTGTATAGCTTTTTTTAAATCTAATGCTGGCAAAAAGATGCACCGGTTTCAGTTTTTACAATCTGATCTTTTCATCGTAGCGTCACTTACAAGGTTTGACCAAAGCAGCTACTTTCCCAGCATGAGCGAGCCGGGTGATGTGCATTCCTTCAAGGAATGCTAGGCCTTTGAATCTTGAATATTTCCGGAGTCACAGGGCAGCTCGGGCAAATCTGGTGTCTTCCTGTCCATCTTGCACCCTTCTGTCTTCCCCTTGCTCTTTCAGTTTTACTGCGTGTCCATAGATGGATGCTCTGAGAGGCAGGATAAGAGAACACGAGGCCCGGAAGCTTGTGGTGTTAATGTTTCCCCCCGCGCTCTTTTCATCTGCCATCAAGGCAGCTGTCATTGATTAGAGTGTTTGTAAATGATTCCTGAAGGAAGTAGGTGGTCAGGCGCAGGTCATGTCTCTGTTTCAAAGTCATTCACAGCTTCTGTCCTCGCGCAGAGTCAGCCTCCTCCAAGGCTCTCATAAAGCCAGTTTCCGAAAAGCAAAGCTGTTTATGTTTTCACCAAAGGCAAAGACTGAGTGATAATGTTTTTACCCAAGCCTGTGTGTCCAAAWGTTTGTCTGTGTAATGACTCAGTGGACAGATTTAAGTAAAACTCTAAAGCCGCCACAGCTAATCAACGTTCACCAKAACAATAAAAGCCTCTAACTTATTTAAAATGACAAATAATGAAGTAAACTTTATGTGAGCTTGATCCTGAACACCATCCTCAGATCCAGGGCCGGCTCTAGCTAATTTGGTGCCTAAAGTAATATTTCAGGTGGCACCCCTTGTGCAGTTTTCTAAATATCACTGTCTATTTACAAACATTTACACCAAACTGAATAGTTTTATCTTTAATATTATTTTTTATCTTTAGAAACCAGGTTGTCCAAATTAAAACATTTCATCWAATTTATTTGWAACAGAACACCAGAAGTCTACCTCATACCTGCCAACATTTACTGACAGCACCGAGGAACACCAGTTCATGTTAACCAGCAGCTGTGGAGTGAAGCAGTTGTAGGGGGGTCCCGGGGTATAGTCCTGTGGAAAATTTAGTAAAAGTTCTGCTCAAAACTATTTTCCAGCCATTTGAAGAGCATTTTACTAAATTCTTGGGTTTAATAAAACAACATAAAATCAGTATTTTATGAAGGTGAAAACCAGACATTAACCCGAACTTTATCTGAGATCAGAACTGAAACTTCCAATATCCTTATTTTGTTTTCTATATAAACTGAGCACCAATAGCTAGTCTTGACTGCATCATATGAAACTTTTATCATTCTCTGTACCATATAACCTCATATAGTAACAAAACAGACTGAGAAACCCACAAAACGAGTTACCTTAAACTTGACTATTCTACAGACACACCCCTAAATSACACCTGATA